CCTGCTCCCCGGCCCACGGCCCCGAGCCCTGCGTTTGGGGGATCGGGATACTGCAAGGAACTCACGCCACACAGGGTCGAGTCCTGCGCAGGTGGGGGGGGCTTGATCCACCAGGGGGGCCCCAGCACCCACCAAGGAGAGGCTGCCTGGATCTGAGCCCCCAGACTGCAGGCCCCTATTCCACGCTTCCATCGGCTGCTCTCGTCTTTAGGGCCTAATCCTCCCCTCGACCTCCCGTCCTGGGTTCTGGTCCACCCTGTCTTTGCTCTCAACTGCCATTCTCTTGCAGCCCCCTGACTTAGCTCACACCCCTTCCCATTCTTTGCAGTTTTCAGGGCTCCAGGCCCCCATCTCTGGGCCAGGGGTGTATGGAGATGGCATTTTCAGGCTCACCATAGCCCACCATCCTGCCCGCCCCTCTTCCTGTGGCTCTGCAGCCCCTCAGCTGTGACCGAGCTCTTTGACTCGGGGCTGGGGGATTCTGCAACTCAGGATAGCATGGCCCGAGAGCCTCGCTGGCCAGGAGAGGGAGATGCCCACCTCCTCACCTCCTATCCTAGGCCCGCCATCTTGAGACCTGTGGCACCCAGTGCCCCACCCAGTCCCCCAGGACCCTGGGAAGCATGCCTCAAGGGATGTATCCAGGGCCAGCGGTGCACCCCCTCTTCCCAGAATTTGTCTTTGGACTCCTAGGACGGCCAACTTCGTGCTGGATGAACAGGACGTGTATGTGTCCAGAGCCTCTTGCCCCACAAAGCTTTTGGGTCCCAAGGCCCCCTCCCCAAGGAGATTAAACCTCACTTGGGCCCCACACTCTCCCCTAAGGTCATCCGTTCTGCTTTCAGGACAATGCCTGGGAGGCCATGCTTTTCCACATCTGCAGGCCCCCAAACCCTTTCATCCTCCTAGGCACCCCTTTCCCAGCCCCCACCTCCCAGCCTTCATCAGCATGCAGGCTCCGGTCGCCAAACACAAGGGGATTGTTCTCCTGGCATGCTGGGGTGGGGGGCTGGGAGCAGGCGGCCCACACACCCTGGCGGGCCCAGGCCACTAGAAGAGCAAGACAGGCTCTGTCCACCCTCTCCGCTCACATCACTGACCTCCCTCCCAGCCTCCATCCTCACTGGCCTGAGAAAAGCACTGAACAGGACAGGTGGGCCTTGGGTTTCCCCAGCTCTGCCAGTGGCCCCCCATGTGGCCTGACACAAATGCCGAATGGCCCTTTCCCTCAATTTCTCCTCCTAACTAGGGAAATCCTTTCACCTGCCCAGGCTGAGTCTGGCTCTGTGAGGTCCGTGCTGTTCCTCCAGCTCTTGTAGCCTCCCCCTTCTCTCGAAGGAGACCTCCCCTGGACCCCAGGAGTTCAGCCCCGCCTAAATCCCCCACACCAACAAGCCCTGGGAGCCTGTAGTTCCGAGAAAGAGCAGGAACAGGAGCCGGGGAAGCTGAGCAGAAACCAGGATTCTACGCAGGCAGGTCCTGGCTGTGCCCGTGTGGCTGGTGTGGAGCTGTGGCTCTCTCTTCTTCAGAGATCCCTTGGGAACCCCAGTCGCATCTTTGGTCCCTAATGCCCTGAGGCCCTGTGATCTCTCTCATACACCCCAGCCCCTCCCTGAGCCTGGTTCTGTCTCCAACTTCTTGTCTTCTGGGGTTCTCACTTTAGTGGGAAAGTCAGGCCCAGAAACGCCCCCGCTGTAACTCCTCTGGAGTTACCCCGGGCATCTTGTCGGGGCAGAGAGGCTTGGGTGGTGATGCATGACTGGGGAGACTGGGGAGGGCTGCACGGGAGGGAAGGGCTCACAGGTTGGAGGAGACGACACTGGAGAAGGGTTTGACAGGCTGAGATGGGCGGATGGACATCTGGAGCTGGGAACAGAGGCTCAGTGGTTCAAGGTGTATTCTGTAGCCTGGTGTGGGTGGAAGGCGGCCTAGAGACGAGATAAGAGAAGTTGGCAGGAGCCAGGTCACGAAGGTCCTTGAGTGGCCCTCTGTGGAGGCCAGGCTTTACCCCTTGGGCCCCCAGGAGAGCCATGGATGACCACGGAGAGTGGCATGACCCAGTCTCTGGTACATAGAATGGGAGCCAGAGACCTTCCTTGCCTTGGGTGGGACAGGATGGAGACCAGTCAATGGGGCCTTTTGCCCAGCACCTAGTCTGAGTCTGGCCCTGCCTCGGTTTCCCGGCTGTTGGGAGTCAGCCAACAGAGTCCGACTAGGCTGGAACGTTGCGGGAGGCTGGAATGTTGCGGGCACCCATCAGCTTGCCAAGGCTCCTCCTTGCTCCGCACCAGGCTACGGCCAGAAACCAGAGGCTGGAGCCCTTGAAGCCCAGCCGCTCCCTGGCAGTGCCCTTCTCCCTGACCTCTCAGGACTGGGCATGACCACCGCCCTGGGGGCCTGGAGGGTGGGGCAGGATTGGCAGAGACCCTGCTACCTGCATGTGGGAGCATCACCAGATGAAGGGGCTAGCAGGGACGTGGGGAATCTTCCATGATGCCACCCCCACCCCCACCCCCAGGCCTGGTGTCCACTCCTTGCCACGCCCTGCCTCGCCTGATGCCCTGAGCCACTCCCCAGCCTTGCTGGGTGTGGCCCGCGTGACTGCTTGTGGCGTGGGAATAGGAGGCTGCTGGTCCAGAGAGCTGTGGGTGCTGAAGGAGGTGGTGCTGCGGGGTGGGGGTGGGGTGGGGTGAAGCTGGAGACTAGACCCTCTTCTCTCTCTCTCTCCCCAGTCCAGGTGGGTGCACAGGCCCTGGCTGCCCCAGGCGCTCTGGCCAGCAGCGCAGAGGGAATCCCCCAAGGGGCGGGCCAGTGCACTGGAGTCGCCTGGCCCCACGAGCCCTCCCCTCCCCCGGATTGTTCTCGCTCCAGAACAAAGCCAGGGTGGACACTTGATCCCGGTGGGGTGGGTGGCGGTGGGGGAGTTGGCTAAGCCCCTAGCCCTTTGATTGGGCAGCTGTCATGGGAGAGAGACAGCTGGGGGGAGGGGCAGGGAGGAGGCAGCCTCCATCGCTTGTACAGCTGTCACCCCCCCACCCCCTCCTCTAGCCTGAGTGGCAAGAGGCCAGGCACAGGAGGGGTGGGCAGTGAGTCTGGGGAGGGGGTGCACCAGCTCAGACGGCCTGACCCTCGTGTGTCCTGCCAGGGAGCCCTGCTGACCAGAGGGGGCTGGGCACCCCCAGAGGTTAGCTGGAGGTCAGCATGACTTGTTACTCGGCACCCACGTGGATAGCCTTTCAGGGACCCAGGACCCACCAGGCCGACGCAGCCAGTAACTCCTAGAGTCCTGATGAGGGTGGGATGCGGCATGAATGCCTATTGGGGTGCTGCTCCCTGGGACCCCTGAGAGAATCATTTGGGGGACATGAGTCACGATCCTTTATTCTCTCCCAAAGACGGGGAAGGGCAGCAGGGGCCCTCAAACCAGGAAGGACACAAAAGGGGCCGCAGTCTTCCTGACCCCTGACCTGGTACAGGAGGGTAAACTGAGGCTGGGCCAGTGAAGGGCTGGTTAAGGACACCCACTGGGTCTGGAGAGGTGGGCTCTGCCGTGGATCCAGGTGTTCTTTTAGACAGGAGCCCACCCGCCACTGGCCATGTCCCAGCTCACCTGTCCTGCTTCCCCCGGGGCCTCATGCCCACCAGAGGTGCTATGGGATCTCCCACCAGCTAGCTAGGGCCCGGGAGGGGCCCTGAGCCCCTGAGAATTCTGGAGTGCAAGACCTCCGGCTTTAAACACATTGTCGGTCCTTTCCAAGCATGGTCTTGGCTGGGCAGGAGTCCACTGTCTGGGAAGGGCACCCACTCACCCAGCGGCAGCCCGAGAGGGGTGGCCCATGGGTGTGGCAGACTGCTTACTTAAGGACCCTTGCTCTCTGGGACTTCGCACAGAGTATAGACCCTCTGGAGGCCCTAGGCTCTCCTTGCAGCACACTTACCTGCCCGGGTAACCACTGTGCTCCAAGCACCTTCTCTGACCTGACTGGGCTGAGCCCGGGGGACTCAAGAAGGTGGCAGCCTTGGCGCCTGCATTAAGGAGCTCCTGGGCTTGGCCGCCAGAGAGACGGAAGCCAAAGACGTCATGCTTTGATGGGGGAAGTGCAGACAGCTGGGGGACTGTCCCGCAAGGGCAGCCAGCATGAGACTGGCCAGGATGCTCGGAGAGAATAGTCCTTGCACCCATAGTCCTTGCCAACCTCTGACCTCTGGAGTACTGGGGGCCAGGTCTTGAATGGAAAGAGGATCAGGTGCCTGGTGGGTCAGTGGGGGCCTGGGATGTCACCCTCCATGTACCGATCGGGAAACAACAGGCCTGGTTCCCTATTGTGGCTTGCTCGGGCTTTCTGGGTGAGAACAAGACCGGGAACCCCCCTTTCCACCGCCTGTCCCGGTCTGGCGAGCAAGGGGGCTTCCGAAGAGAGTGTGGACAGAGCTCCATGCGCTGAACTGTGAGGTCCACATGGGGGCAAGTCCTCTGGAGTGCCCCAAAGCCAGCTAGCCCCTGCCCTCCCGGGCAGAAGGAATATGTGGAGCTAGGGCTTGGCACCCATTGGTCCCTCTCTTGTTCTCCTCAAGTTCTGGTCCCCGCCAAGAGCCGACCCACCGGGTGGAGCCTTGGCAGGGGTAGGAGTGGGGGAGACAGCCAAGGGAGGAGGACTTTGCAAGCAGGATTAAGGTTCAGGATTAAATTGGGGCATGAAAGGGGGTCGGGTGGGGAGGGCTGACGGCTGGGCTAATCCCGATGGCTAATCTCTGGCTTTGCCTTCCTCCACCCACTGAACAGCTTGGACATTCCTGCAGCCCCCGCATCCCTTTCTTGTCCCTCACTCCTCCCTCTCCCAGGGCCAAGTCCACTGCCATCCACTTGAGTCCAGCTCCTTGTGACCCCCAGGCCAGGGAAGAACTGTCCCACAGTGTCCCCAAGGCTGGAAGGTTCATGGGCTCGGACAGCCTCCTTGCTCGCCAGTCGACTCCGATCGAGGGCACTCTGGATGGCAGCCCAACACTTTAGCCATGGCACCAGCAAGGCCCCTTCTCCCCAGTAACCGGGGGCAGGTACCCGTCCATCTAAGGGGCGAGGAGATGGAGACTCGGGGGGCCCAAGTGACTTGTCCCTGGTGTAGCAGGAAGTGCTTCGGGCCGGGAAAGCAGCCAGCCGGACTGCCCTCGCCTCCTGTTCTGGGCCCTTCTCCCCACGGGCGAGAGGGTCTGGAAATTCACTGTGCAGGCTGCCGGTCTCCGACACCCCGCCCCTCAACGCGAATGAACCTGTACCCACCCAAACTCGCTGCCAGGGCCTCTGCTCACCTGGACGGAAGTAGTTTCTAGAGGTGGGGCCAAGCCCTTCTGGCCCAGACTGAGAGGATACCTCTTTCTACCTCACCACCTTCACTGCCACCTTCTCTTTAGGCCAGTGGTTCTCAACCTGCCTCATGCCACGACCCCTTCCTCCTGTTGTGGTGACCCCCCCAACCATAAAATTATTTTCGTTGCTACTTCATCACTATCATTTAACTACTGTTATGAATGGGGCAACCCCTGTGAAAGGGTCGTTCGATCCCCCACAGGGTTGTGACCCACAGGTTGAGAACCGCTGCTTTAGGATCTCCGTGGCTCCCCCTAGTCCCAACACTAGCGCCAGTGAGGGCCTGGCCTGGCCCCTGGTTCCTCTGGTTTGGAAGAACCTTCACTCACCTTCAAGGCCCCAATCCACAGGGCTCCCCTGCTCCAAGTGCCCAGGGAGCCCCCACAGTCCTCTTAGTTAATTCTAATATGTGAGGGAGGAGACATGCTCACAGAAGCCAGGCGCTGCTACCACAGTGCCTGACTCATCTGATCCCCTTAATGCTTTGGGTCTGATTAGCACTAGTGTGAAGGAGCCCCATGGGCCTGCAGGGCAACAGCAGCTCGGAATGGGTAGGGTCACCAGGTGCGCAAGGCTGGCAGATCACACACCAGCATGCCCAATCCCTGGGGGGTTACGTTTGAAGCCGCTGGGCCCAGACTCGCTCTTCTCTGGAAGTTTGGTTGGCCTGGGGTCTGGGACCCGCGTGAGGGCTGCAGGGACCTCTCTAACGCATCGTACCCCGCCCCTTCCCACAGAGAGGGCCGGCTCCCAGAGTGGACGCACCCCCAGACCTCTGCGGCCCCAGCCCCGCCTAACAGGATGAGCAGCTCGGATGCGGGGCTGGAGGAGGAGCCGGAGCTCAGCCTCACCCTCACTCTGCGGATGCTGATGCATGGGAAGGTGAGGTGGGGGGACGGGACGGGGGACTGGGGCGCCCTGTGAGGCACCAGGCCAGCCTGAGCTGCGTGGCCTTCGGCAGACGAAGGGGACACAGCCTGTGTATCAGGGAGGTCAGGGCCTGGGCAGTCGGACCCCCCTGACTTCACTCTCATCTTGTCCGCAGGAAGTGGGCAGCATCATCGGGAAGGTAAGTGCCAGCCTACCCTTTGTGCCCCTCTAACCCGGGCAGGAAGGCGCCGACAGCCGAGCACTCAGGCTAAGGCCCCCCCTCTTTCTGTCACCCACAGAAGGGAGAGACTGTCAAGCGAATCCGGGAACAGGTGAGGACAGGGTTTGGGGGAGGAACCCCGGGCTGGAGGGGTGCATGGGGGCTCCTGGCCTGCCTCCGATGCCCTTCTCTCGGCCTCCGCCCTACTGTTGGGGGGCCAGCGATCACGCACGCATGTGCGCGCATGGCGTGCGGGCAGGTTGTTCCCTCGCTGCCCGGCGCCTGCCCTGTGCCCCTGCAGAGCAGCGCCCGGATCACCATCTCCGAGGGTTCCTGCCCGGAACGCATCACCACCATCACGGGCTCCACGGCGGCCGTCTTCCATGCAGTGTCCATGATCGCCTTCAAGCTGGACGAGGTTCGCAGCAGGCGGGGGTGGGGTGCGTTCCTGGGGAGGGGGGACCTCAGCTCCCCATGGGACAGGAAGGGGAGGCGCGGCCCTCCTCTCAGAATATCTTCTGGAAGGCGCCCCACGAGCAGGGGCGAGCTCTGCCCTTGCGCGCAGCCTGCCCACTGTTCCACTGCCCCCAGGACCTTTGCGGGGCTCCCGCGAACGGAGGGAACGTCTCCAGGCCTCCGGTGACCCTGCGCCTCGTCATCCCTGCCAGCCAGTGCGGCTCGCTGATTGGGAAGGCGGGCACCAAGATCAAAGAGATCCGGGAGGTGAGGGCTGCGCCCAAGCCACACAGAGCCGTCTGTTTGCCCTAGGTGGAGGGGAACCGGGTTATGGGCCCCTGCCCCCTGTTCCCCCAAGGAGGGAACTTTGGTGGTGCCGCAGTCAGGTGCTTTGTGCTGCCCAAAAGACGAGCCAGCGGTTCAAACTTACCGGCTGTAAGCAGCTGTGGAGATGTGTGTGTGGGGTGTGCTAGCCCCCACAGTGGAATGGGTCCAAGGGGTGGTTGAGAGATAAAATGTTAAAGAGACATCAGACAAGGTAAGGCATGCAAGGGCTCTCCTTGGAGGCCACGACTTCAGGAGCCGGGTCCATGCTGAGAGAGAGAGTGTATTTCCAACCAAGGATTATAGACACTCAGGGGCGTGCAGGCCCCCCGAAGTACAGGGACCAAGTGCATTTAAAAAGTGGGCTGTACACTAACCCTAAAGGTCCCTGGGTACAGTGGAGGAGTAACCTAACCCCAGTGACCACAGGGCAGGTAAGGGGTAGTGGCTGCCTTCCGAGCCTAGAGAGCAACAGCACAGGTCTGCCTCTAGTTAAAGCTGGGTAGCCATCAGCCACGCGCTTGTAAGAGGTAACTTTAAGGTTGCCCTATGGTGGGAGGACATAGTGGGGAACAATATCAGTGATGAGAATGTGATTGGACTCACCTCCAATTCACAAGGTGAAGGCCTCCCTCCACCCCAGAAATCCAGCCTGTCGGGGTTCTTAATACTTGAGACTAAAGGATTCATCCATAGACACTCTCTTCCCGTTCTCTGCTTCCCACAACTTGAGCCTCGGAAACCCGCAGGGCAGTTCCTCTTTGTTCTGTTGGGTGGTTGAGATGGGTCAGAATGGACTGGCCACCCATCGTGGGCTTGGCTCGGCTAGCCCTTGTCCCGCGTGACCCCTGTGCTCTGCCCTCAGACCACGGGAGCCCAGGTGCAGGTGGCTGGAGACCTACTCCCCAACTCCACCGAGCGTGCCGTCACCGTGTCTGGGGTGCCTGACGCCATCATCCTGTGTGTGCGCCAGATCTGTGCCGTCATTCTCGAGGTGCTGCCCAGGGCGGGGAGACAGGGCAGGGACTGGGCCCGACCGGCCTGGTCAGGCACCCAAACCCTGGGCAGGGGTCCGCCTCGGGTTGGGGCAGGGAAGGCCCAGCTGGGACAGTGGGTGGCTGTCAGTCCCAGGGTGTCGATGAGTGTTTGCGTAGGGCCTGGAGGGGGGGGTGCCCTGATAGAGCATCTTTGTTTGTATCTCCCAGTCCCCACCCAAAGGAGCCACGATCCCGTATCATCCAAGCCTTTCCCTGGGCCCCGTGCTTCTCTCTGCTAACCAGGTGTGCTGCATGCGTGCGTGCATACGGGGAGTGAGGCGTGAAGACGGGGAGGGGCAGGAGAACTGCTGGAGGGAGGAGGCCTGCTGTAGGGGAGCGGGTGGAAGAAAAGATTGATGGGGAGGGAGGAGGGAGGAATGGCTAGCTGAGCTGCTAAATTCATCATAGTAACCCCCTGTCCACTTTGTTCCCCCAGGGCTTTTCTGTCCAAGGCCAGTATGGGGCTGTGACCCCAGCGGAGGTGAGTGACCTCAGCCCAAGGTCTCCCTCCCAGAGCCAAGGCCCTCTGACCTCTGACTGCTCTTCTTTGGCACAGGTCACCAAGCTTCAGCAGCTCTCAGGGCACACAGTGCCCTTCGCCTCACCCACTGTGGTTCCAGGTGAGCATGGGGGCAGGGCTGGGCAGGGCCACCCAGGGGGGGTGGGGAGTGCAAGGCAGGCCCCTGGGATGGGCCAGGGACTGGGGGACACCCAGCCCTGCTATGCTTAGTCCCTCTCCACCCCCCTCCCCTGCACAGGACTGGACCCCAGCTCCCAGACCAGCTCGCAGGAATTCTTGGTTCCCAATGATGTGAGCAGGGGAAGTGGGACCGGTGTGAGGGGCAGGAGGGAGCCAGGGGGTCTGGGCCTCCCCCAGGTTGAATTCCAACCCCCTAACCCCTCCCACCTCCCCCCAGCTGATTGGCTGCGTGATCGGACGGCAGGGGAGTAAGATCAGCGAGATCCGCCAGATGTCGGGGGCCCATATCAAGATTGGGAACCAAGCAGAGGGTGCCGGGGAGCGGCACGTGACCATCACGGGCTCCCCAGTCTCCATTGCCCTGGCCCAGTACCTCATCACTGCCTGGTGAGCTTGGGCCACGGGCCTGCCTGGGCTGGGAGGGCTGGAAGGCAGAGGAAGCTGACCCTTGCCACCGTGTCCCTTCTCCCCAAGGCTCTGGTTACTTCCCCTCTGTACGTGTCCCTCGTGTCCTCTCTCAGCCCATGCTCGGGGCTCTTCTTGCCCCCCATCTCTACCCTCACCCCATTCGCCCCTGCTTCCTTCCCACCTGCTCTCTCTTCCCTCCCCCCGAGCCCCCAGACGTGCCCACCCCATGTCACTGTCCTCCCCAGTTTGTCTGCCCTGCTCTCCTTCTAACCTTGCCGCTCTGCGCCCCCTCCTCTCTGCCTCTGACCCCACCCTCCCCTCCATCTCCCCCTCCATCTCCCCCCTTTCCCTCTCTCCAGTCTAGAGACGGCCAAGTCTACCTCTGGGGGGACACCCGGCTCGGCCCCTGCAGACCTGCCTGCCCCCTTCTCACCACCCCTGACGGCCCTGCCCACGGCTCCCCCAGGTCTGCTGGGCACACCCTATGCCATCTCCCTCTCCAACTTCATTGGCCTCAAGCCGGTGCCCTTCTTGGCTCTGCCACCTGCCTCCCCAGGGCCACCTCCGGGGCTGGCGGCCTACACTGCCAAGATGGCAGCGGCCAATGGGAGCAAGAAATCTGAGCGGCAGAAGTTCTCCCCCTACTGAGGCTGGCTGGGGCACAGGCGGGGGGCAGGCAGGACCTCCGCACCCTACCTGTCCAAGGAGACTCCACCTGAGGTCCCTGCTGCCACCGGGCCGCCACTGCAGCTAAAGGCCAGACGCATGGATGCACCTCCACCCTGCCCCCGCCTGCAGGGGTGCTTTGTCTTTGAGGGGGGGGCAGTGTCTGGCCCATGGTTCTGGGAGCTTCTGCAGCCTGCCCCGGCCCCCACCGGGCGAGAGGCCCCACCCCTTCAGCTCTGGATGTAGGGAGCAGCTAGGGGCTTCCAGTCGTGCTCCCACCTTTGGGGGGGGCTCACTCCTGCATCCCCACCCCCTAGGGCTTTCCCAGCCTCTGCCCCGCTGTGGGAATCAAGCTGGAGATCTGGGAGTGGGGATCTATGCTTCTCCCGTCCCCGCAGAGCCCTGCAGCTTCCAGACGCCCTTGACTGGAATGGACGCTGGGCTCCGCAGGGGGAGCCCACGGGCAGGCACTGCCGGTAGCTGGGGTGTGTGGCGGGGAGTGGTGTGGGGCGGGGCCAGGTTCTCAGCAGCCGACACTCTGTACAGTTTTTTTCAATCCCTGTTTTTGAATAAATATTCTCAGCGACCAGGAAGCTGTAAAACACTGTGGGGAAGGGTCTGAGGGGGCTGACATAGAGGGACTGGGTATGGCCGAGGCCTCAGGGAACCCCGTCTGTGAATTCAGCCCCCTGGCTGGGCCTCAGCCCCTCCCACACTCCAGTCCAGGGCATCCATCAGGGCCCTTGGAGTCCATATTGTTCCGGCTCTTGGCTCTGGTACCACATCGATCTGACTGCTTCCTGAGTCTCAGATGCTGACGGAGCTGTTTCCATTGCTGCCTCTGCCGCCGTGCTGCAGATGTCAGGCAGGTCCTTGCAGCCTCTTCCCCGCGCATCCAGCTGCAGGCTCCAGGCTCTGCCCTGCCCGGCCCAATCTTTGGCTGTGAGCCCTTAGGGCCTGCCTGCCCAGCTCCTGGGCTCCCTTGGTCCGAGAAACTTCTGTGACCACCTAAACCCAGTGAGGTGGTCCAGGACACAGATGGGCAAGTTCATGCATAAGGCCATGCAGAGTTCGGTTGGCTCTAGAACCCAAAATTCATGGATCCCAGAAATGTCTGGCCCTCACCCCGACTCCTACCATATACTATTGTCTCCACCGCTGCAGGGGGCTCCGTGGTCCCTTCTTTACCTACTTCCCACTCCGCTTGGGTGAAAGAGCTCTCGGGTGGCCCCTGGCACACCCAGGCCCCCCTCTCCCTCCAACTCCGGGACTTGCACGGAGACCTCTGATAGACCCCGGGCAGCGCCCTCGGGGCACCCCTGGGTTTGGAGCGGCTGCCGCAGCACCTGCGGGTGCCAGGCCTGCAGCGCACAGGCCCACGGGGGCTGGGGCAGCGCCCGCAGCACACGGCGGGCCAGGCGGCCCAGGGCTCGGCGCAAGGGACGCTGCAGCA